CTAAGTCAACACATTCTCCAGGAACGGTCTTCCCAAGAATATACAAAAGACTATATGTAAATATTGTGTACACTTTCTTGTTTCAATACATTTTGTTCTAAGTACATTTTGTGTTGTATTATTATTCCATGCATTAGTCAAGTTTCAACACTCTGCTTGTGCGGAACTCCATTGACAATACCTTGACGAGTTCACCATTATTTTTTTTGAAAAATCTAGAACCACTTATTATTTTGAGCGGGAAGCATTTTCACTGAATTTTTTAGTCCCTCCCTACTTTTCAATTTAAAACTAATTCCATTTTGGGAGCGAGATTCCTGCCGATTTGTATGGGTTTGTCAGACATTACGAATAGTTGCGCAATAAAATTCTTCAGCAAAATGTGTCATCACTCATATCCAACCAGGCAAAAGGTTTCGCAAAAACTTTCTTCAAGATGAGCAAATCAAAAAAATTTAATAACAACCACTAAGAAAGGTGAGGATAATTAAAAAAAAATACTGAATGGGAAATGAAAATCATCATCATCATCTTCTTCCAATTTTTCCTGAAAAAAAAAATTATTTGATAGGAATATGTCCCACTTGACCATTTTAATTGCTGAAAAAGTATTAACACAATGCTAATTTCAGATTTTATAACTTAAATTGAGATTATTTAAGTGGAATATTCTAGAATATTCCAATAATGTTATCAGTAATAACTTTTAGCCTAAAATACAAACAGAACATTTTGTAATTGATATTCGTGCAAGAAGTTTTTTTTATCATGGGCAGACGTCAAGAATTGGCAAATTCGCAAAAAGAACTGATTGTTAAGCTCTGGAAAGAAGGTAAAAGTTACAAAAAATCTCAGACAACCTGAATATTCTATTTACTTCCATTAGTTCATTCACTGACAGGTATAAAAAAAATCAAAACTGTTGAAAACCAAAGAACAGCCGTTCCACAAAAAGATTTCTTCAAGATCTTTGAGAAAATGAATGCGTCAAATTAAACAAAATCCAATGGTTACTCGTAAAGAATTGCAGGATGATTTCTTTCATCAGGAATCTGTGCCACTAAACGGAAAATAAGCAATGAAATTCATAGGAATAATCTTAAGTCACGTTCCCCTCGGAAAACTCTACTGCTATTGAAAAGATACAGAGATGCCAGGTTGAAATTCTTTTGTGAACATAAGGATAAGCAAAATCGTATTGGGTAAGAATATTATAGACAGGCGAAATCAAAATTGGTTGGAGGTAATTCTAGAAATCGTGTATAGAGAAAAAATGGCAATATCGTCAAACAAAAGAATACGGATCCAACTGTGAAATTTGTTTTTGGCAGCATCATGGTTTGGGGATGTTTTTCTGCAAAGGGTACTAGGAACATATCAGTAATAGATTGTAGACTAAATATCGCAGCAAATCAAAATATTTTGGAAGCAAATTTAATGATTTTGGTTGAAAATCTGGAACTTCCTCCTGATTGGATCTTTCAACAAGATAATGATCCTAAGCGCACTTCAAAATCTACGAAGAAATGGCTTACTAAAAAAATGGCCAAGTTATTCCTCAGAATTAAACGCAATCGAGAATCTGTGGCGTTATTTGAAAATTCAGATCCAATCGAGAGCTTCAACAAACTTCCCAGATCTGAAGACCATATGCAAAGAAGAATGGAACAAAATACAAAATAAAATTTGCAAATCAATTATTGAGAACTACAAGGAGAGGTTGGTTGCTGTAGAAATGAATAATGGTTATTCTACAAATTATTAATTGAAGAGTATGTATTCGTTTTGTATTGTACGAATATTTTCACCCATGGATAAATGGGATTTATTTCTATTAAATCAAATTATTTGCTGTTTTGTATGCATATTTAGTTATTATGCATCAGTATACAGTTAATTATATGAAAAGTACGTTTATTCATTAGTTGGAAAACAATAAATTAAAAATTTATATGTACGAATGCTTGTTCCCCGACTAGACACACACACACACAATGTATATATGAGACCGACCGTAAGACAGTTAACTTGATAGATCTTTGTGAAAAATAATTATTAACTAGATAGATAGAAATGAACAGAGATAGATAGATAGATAGATAGATAGATAGATAGATAGATAGATAGATAGATCAAAGTTGTTTGGAAAGCAAGAATCTGGAAGAAGTACGAGAAGCGGGAAGTGCGAGAGAAGAAACCGATAACATAGAACTTGCGGTTGTCTAGGATATGAGAAAAAGAAAAACATTAAGAACAAAAAAAGAAGAATCAATAAAAACAGAAAATAATGATTGACAGTGAATTAAAATTTTCGAAAATCATAGAGAGTTCCACAAGAGTTTGGCATCAATTTATCAAATGATATCAATCTTGGAGGTTGACAAACTTGCTTAAATTGCGGTGCATACAGAACTTTCAAATATTCATATCTAATCACCGGAAGAATAAATTTGGACGATCGGTGACGTATCAAAGGAACAGTCTGGAAGTCATGGAATGA